TGGGCCTGCGCATCTGGAGCCTGTGCTCCACAACGGGAGAGGCCACAACAGTGAGAGGCCCACGTACCGCAAAAAAAAAAAAAATATATTTCTAATTCCATAACCTTACACAAACCAAGGAGTAATAAAAAGACAAAACATCAAAGAATTACTTGATGTCTAACAATGAAAACTGTTCAAAACCCAGAAGATGGTATAGTAGAAAAAACACAGGAAAAGAAGATAAGAGCTGGACCAAATGAGTTTCAAAATCTAGTATTCAGTAATTCTATGGGTTTTAGTCCAAAACGTGTACCATTTGAGGAAAGAGAATGACCTCATCCGACCTCAGAAACTCTGCTTACAAAATGGAAATAATAATAGCAGCCTTGCTTACTTCATACAAGAGAACTAAACGAGATATGTACAAAAGTATACAAGTGAATATAAAATGACCTCAACTAGAATAAAACTTGAATATCTTTTTTTCATGCTTTCCTTCCTAAAATTTCTTCCTCTTGTGTCTTCAACCATCAATGTTTATTTTCATCTATTCTAAGAAATAGTCCCTTATTAATTCTCCCCATGTGCCTCCCTAATGGGAGTCACAAAGACATTACAGCCAGAGTTGGCCTCAGACCCTCTTGTCCAGCCTCTTAGTAACATATCAGAAAATGAGAGTTGTACTAATAAATAACAGGAGTAAGATTAGAATTCAGGTCTCCAGGCTCTTGGTCCATTAACAAGCTCTACTATTTCATTTACTTGTAAATGTTAGTTTACAATTGTTAGCTTAATTAACATTAAAAAAATGGGTTCTTGTTTATCTCACAAAACTTAAACCAGCTTAAAGGGAAAAAAAGAAACTTGTCTTATATTAACTTTAAATAAGACTTTACAGGGCTTCCCTGGTGGCGCAGTGGTTGAGAGTCCGCCTGCCGATGCAGGGGACACGGGTTCGTGCCCCGGGCTGGGAAGATCCCATATGCCGTGGAGCAGCTGGGCCCGTGAGCCATGGCCGCTGAGCCTGCGCATCCGGAGCCTGTGCTCCACAACGGGAGAGGCCACAACAGTGAGAGGCCCGCTTTACAATAGAAGGAAACTAATTAATCTGAATAATCATTACCATTTCAAATTTTAATTAATGTTTTAAATTAACATAGAAATATATGATCAAAAGCCATTTTTTAGATGTCCCTTCCTACTACAGTAGACTTTGAATCCTGCAGGCAGAGAAAACAAATTGTGGAAGAGCTGTAGAAATTGGGGATAGTTAGTCTCAAAGAGGATAAAAATGAATTCAGATATTTCTCTTTCATGCCTACTCTTTCTGAATGACCTATTTTAAGGTTGTTATTTATACCACCAGGTAACAATAATTTTAGAGGAAGAACAAACACCTAATATATTTTAAAACAATTTTTTAAAAAATTACATAAAAGCAGCTGGCTCATTAAAGAGTTTAGGGATGAACAAAATACTAAATATATTTAGTGAACACAATGTAAGAAGCGCCACAGTAAATTCAAAACTGTCTGTAAGCAAATCTGAAAATGAACATCAAAAGGGGATGTGGGAAAATTATATTATCTGCCACTTCACACCAAAGAACATAGAGGCAGTGAAACAGTGGAAACTAAACAGAGTACAAGTAGAAAGAAAGAAAGCAAGAGGCATAGTGGTACAGAGGAACAACACTGGTCAAGAAGTGGGAAGGTCTGAGTCTCAACCTCTAACTACCTCTGTGTGATGGTTAATTTTATGCTATGGTACCCAAGTTGTTTGGTCAAACACCAGCCTAGATGTTGCTATGAAACAGTTTTTTTTAGATGTGATTAGCACTTAAATCAGTAGACTTTAAGTAAAGCAGACTATCCACCAAAATGTAGGCTGGCCTCATCTAATCAGTCGATGGCCTTAAGAGCAAAGACTTTCCCAAGCAAGGAGCAATTTGGCCTCAACACTGTAACACAAAAATTATGCCTGACTTTCCAGCCTGAAAATTTTGGACTCAAGACTGTAACATTCACTCCACCCTGAGTCTCCAGCTTGCTGTGCTACTCTACAGATTTTAGACTTGCCAGCCCCCACAAACATACGAGCCAATTCCTAAAACTCAAGCAATCTATCAATCTTAATCTCTACTTCTCCCCCTCTCCTGTATGTGTGTGTTTATATACACATATACACACACATATATATGTGTGTGTGTGTGTGTGTATATATATATATATATATATACACACACACACACACACACACACTGTTTCTCTCATGAGCCCTATTACATTCTGTGACCTTTAGCACAGAACCAGAAAATTTAGTAGTTTGGGGGGAAAAAAAAGATCTTACAGGCCACTTAATCTAGTCTCCACACAATGCAGGAATCTCCTTAACATTACTGCTGACTACCAACCAGTGTCTCCACACCTGAAAGGAGCTTAATAGTCACACACACACACACACACACACACACACACACACACACGAAAATCACCCCTTTTTAAATGGCTTCTATTATTGGACAACTCTCTCTCTAATTGGGAGAAAAAAAGAATCTGTGTAATTTTCAACCATCCAACTAATCCTAGTTGTACCTTCTAGAACTAAAAATGAACTACAAACAATTGCTGTTATCAGGAATATTCCATACAGTTTAGTTTAGATACAAATAAATTGGTAGGCAGAGTAATAGCCCCTAAAGATGTCCACTTCCTGATCCTCAAAATCTGTGAGTATGTTCCTTGACTTGGCGAAAGGGATCTTGTAGATAAGTTAAGAATTTTGAGATGAGGAGATTATCCTGGATTATCAGGGTGGGTCCAAGGTAATCACAAGAGTCTTTATAAGAAAGAGTCAGGAGAGTCAGGTGCAGAATGATGAAAGATAAGAAAGACTTGACCTGCTATTGCTGGCTTTGAAGATGAAGGAGTCATAAGCCAAAGAATATAGGCAGTCTCTAGAAACTGGAAAAATAAGAGAATGGATTCTCCTCAGAGCCGCCAGAAGGAAGGCAGCCCTGCCAACACCTCGATATCTAGCCCAGTGAAACCTGTTTTGGACTTCTGGCCTCCAGAACTGTAAGATACTAAATTTGTTTTGCTTCAAGTCACTAAATTTACGGTAATTTGCTACAGCAGAAATATGAAACGATTACAAATATATTAACATTTAAAAAATTAAATGTA